TTCAAAAGGAAAGACTGATACTTGAGTATGTGAAGTACCTCAGATCACTGAGTTCTCCTCACGTTTACAGGTTCATCTCAAAAAATTGGGGATGGAGAGGGTAGATTAAAGCTGTAAGGGGCAGAACATCAAAGATCTGTCCCTACCTAGTCAGGCTGATCTGCTTGGTATGGCAAGGGAAAGAAAGTTCCTTCTCCTCCCCTACAGAGGCAGGAGAACCAATGGCAGGTTCTCCCTCTGGGCAGGATGGTGGTGCCTGAGTTCTGGGGTGGCTGCAGCTGCCTGGCTGCACAGATCCCACCCTGGCTGAACTCACCTGTGCTTTGCTGTCCTGACAAGGTCAAGGAAAGGCACTGGGGCTCTGCTGGTACCAAGGGCAGAGCAGCCAGAGCAGGCCGGGAGGGGGGTCATGTACAGCTGGGGGAAAGGTCTAATGCACTGACAGTATTCAGAGCTGCTGGAGGTGGATGCACTGGTCTGGATGGCTTAACTTCCACAGCACTGTTGCTGCTGTAATGAGAACTGCAAGATTAGTTAATATATGAAATTGTCCCTTTTCCCTCCTGTCCACCTCATCCACCACATTCTCATTGTCATTGTATTGGAAGTGTCAGGGATGCTGGGCAGACTTACCACTGGAATTCCCCCTTCCCACCACACAGCCTTCACTCAGCTGATACCTACTTCTAGTGGTCTAGCACAGGTGCTGCTTGATGGTCATTATTGAGTAGTTTGGGGCTCTTGCACAACTTGCCAGTTTTGTTGGTGGGGTGGGTGGGTTCTTCCTTTTTTTTTTAAGTTCTAGATGGTTTTTCACTTGTTACCAGGTTGACTCCCCAGTTCAGTTTGATCACCATGAGGACCCATGGTAGGTAAGGCAGAGCCTCTGCCCTCCTGACTGTTCTCCACATTCCTTTAGCAGTCACAGCACAGCAGGGCCAGCTGGAGAACCAAAAAGTACAGTAGCCCAGCCTGCTCACCACACATCCTTACTGCTGCAGGATTCCCTGCACCTGTCCCTAACCCTTCACACTGCCAGATTCCTGGGATTTGTTCTGGTGTTTACCTGTCTCATAGGCTTCCAGCTTCTCTGCAGCCCAAGGTAATAAAGTATGGCAGCACACAGGAAACACCACAGGTATCTCCATGTATTTATTCCTGTATTTTAAAGGCTAGACCAGAATCCTGTGCTGTGGTGTAGGGAATGTGCCCATAACCTGGGCACTTCTGTGCCTGAGGTGTGGCAACAACAGCTGTGGCTCTGCCTTGAAGGGTTCCCACTGGATCTCTAATACCTTCTAAAAAGCCCAGAATGAGATCAGCTGAGTGGTTGATGTTGTCATCCTTGGTTCTGCTGTTTGCAGACTGTTGTGGCCTCAAAAAGCTGGTCTGTGTCTATGCACAACTCCCCAAGGTGTAAACGTACTGGCAAGTAGGAAGAGCTCAGTTGCTGGTTTGTGAGAGGAAAGGAAACAGGCCTGAAACCTGGCTCCAAATACACCTTACCTGCATGCTGCTGCTCACTTCACACTGCTGCTGATAGAGGATCTCACTTGCTTTGCACCTTAAGTCTTTTTCTTTTGGCTGAAACACTTTCTAAACTTGTTTTTCAAGTGTGGCCGTGCTGCTTTTAGTCTGAGCATTTCGAGTGGAGCTGTGGCACAGGTGTGACTGTAGAAGATGGTCACTTTGTTTCTGTCTAGAAGCACATGTTGCTTGGAAGCAGGCTGGGTGTCTCAGCAAGTGTCCCTGTTTTTTCCAGAGAGCATAGTGAGTGAGACAGGCCTGGAAAAATCTTCAGAAATGGGCTGAGAATCCTCATTGCATCACTGGTCTGAGCTAAGCAAAGTTATTTCAGGGTGTGTGGAGGCACAGCAGAGGAGCAGTACGTGAGGTACAATGGACCAGTGAGCTTTTGTGGCCCAATAAGTGAAGTGGTGAGGGGGAGAAAGAACCAAGCAACCTCTTGTGCTGGCAAGTCCTGATCCCCTGCAGCCCTCAGGGCTGTCCCAAGGATGTTCCACAGCCAGAGTACCAACCTCTTATCTCCTAGACTTTACTGAGGGCTTTGGTGGTTTTACCTTATCTCCCTCTGTCATCTTCATGGAAGGTGTGCATCCAAACTGACTGCCTTTGGAAGGATGACCTGCAAAGGGAAGGTGGCTTGTGGCATTGCTTCACACGGCCTGTCAAACAATCAGAAGGGTTTAGAAGGTGGGGGGCTCTCTTCTCTTCAGGGCAGAAGGGCAGGTCTTGCTTACCCTGGCAGACCATCACATGGTTCCATGATTGTACTGCTGCTCAGCCTGGGACAAACAGGCTGGAACTGAAGGGATTCCAGGGTAAAGGAATCTTAACCAGAACATTTTAAAGTTTAGCCCAATTCTGATAAGTATTTTGAAACAAACCTTTTTTCTTTTTTTTTTTTTCCCTAAATGCCAGTCTTCCAGAAAAGCTACAGCAAAGGTGGTAGAATAGCAATATGGAATTTCTAACTACTAGAACTCCCCTCTTGCAGCCCTTTCTGAAGAAGGCACCTTTGTCCCACTGAATGCTGTGGGCCATCCCCACTTCCTTTCAGGTGCCCCATTTTCTCCTTGCCCTCGCAGCAGAGATGGGCAGTGGGACAGAGCAGCATCCAACTGCTTTTCCAGAGTCACAGAATGGCTGAGGTTGGAGGGCACTTTGGAGGTCACCTGGTCCAAACACTCTTCCCAAGCAGGGCCACCAAGAGTCACCTGTGAGGACCATGTCCAGGCAGCCTTTGGGCATCTCCAAGCACAGAGACTCTACAACCCCTGTGCCAAACACAGGAGCCCCTTTAGTGCTGACCCCTCCTGTGGTGCAAAATCAAAGGCCGGTGGAATTTGGGGATTTGCCTGTTGTCACTCTCATGGAAAGTGTTTCCCCTGCCCTTACCTATCATCTAACATCAGGAAGGCAGATTGTGGCAGAGGTAATGCTGACTTAACCAGGGCTGTTCCCCCCTAAAATGGAGGCTGCAGCACTGCTGGGACTTCTGCTGCCCTAGAGTGTTTTATTGCCAAACTGCAATCTTCCCCTGCCCTCTGGCAGGATAGCAAAAGGAATCTGGGAAAGCTGGTTCTGCTGTAAATCACCATCCAGTTGTCTTGCCTTCCACTGCTGCTTCTAAAACTTTTACCATTCCCTCTCCCTTTAACTAGGTCTGCCTTTCTCTTCTGCCTTACAGGTTTCCACTGTGGCCAATTCTCTGCTTTCAGCCTGGCACCAGATGTGCAAAGGAGCATATAGGTGCTGACACCCCATTATTTGTCCCAGTGAAGAGCACTTCATGCTCCATGGTTTGGGGCAGGGGACAAGGCAGAAGTCCTGTTACTTCTTCCCCTCAGCACTGTCAAGACAGCTGTGGGGACACAGCTGGAGCTGGGCTCTCTCTCTTGCACTGCTGTGGGGCAGAATTTAAAGCGGTTGTCTTTGCCATGGGAATGGCACCCACGGGCCTGGTACTGCCAAGCACAAAGCACGGAGTGAGCTCAGGGGGGCACTTTCTCTTCCTACCATTGTGGGAATTAGCTGACTCACTGGTGCAATTCTCTCTTCTTCCTGCACTGTATACCCTCCTTAACCCCAAAGTGGTGCACTTGATTTAGTCATGTTCTTCATTAGTGTGGGCAGGGATGAAGCTGAGCTGGGAGTCTGGGTCTTGGGACTGCACCAGATTCAGCAGTGGGAAAGGGGAACTGAAGGGAGCAGCATTACTGATGCAGAACAAGCAGGGAGGGAGAGAGGAAGGCTGTGCTTGTCCTCCTCAGGATTTTCTCCTGGGTGCCACTGGCCTTGTGTCTGAGAGACACGGCCAAACACGAGGGCTGACATCTGTCAGGGTGTTTTTGCAGGAGTTGTGGGGCACAGGGAGCCCAAACCCCACAGTGGAGACAGAGCAGTCCCTCCCCACCAGGCAGAGGTGTGGGGTGGGTTACACTGCAGCCACAGAGCAGTCCCAGCCCTCGTGTCCTGCCACTTACCTGAGGCAGGCTTTTCCTCCAGGACATCCACAGCACTGACAGGCACCAGTGACTCCACAGGGTGGTGGTTACAAAGCCATCAGGCTGCTGCCTTCTCTGTGACACACTCAGCACAGCCCTGCTGCTCACCAGGAGCTGGAAGGAGACTTAAGGGTAACTGCAGCACGTGTGGGAACCTCCCAGGGCACTGTCCAGCACGGGTGGCTGCTGGGGTGGTGCTGCACATCCCTGGAGTATGGAAAAAAGCCCTCAGCCCACTCTCTGGTAGCAGGGCACAGGAGGTTCTGGGACACTGACTTGTTTCTCACAGCTCCAGGCTGAGCAATGTCTGTACCAAAGGAGGTCGTTCTTCCCCATGTGTCTGTCGTGCACGGGAGGTGGAGCCTGCTGGGCTCACATGGCACTGTTTGTGTTGGTAGTGAATTCATTGAGGGCAGGAATGGATTGAAATTAATCACGTTAATCACCAATCACTCTTAGCAGTGTTGTCAACTGTTTTTGTTTTTTAATTGTTATTGTAATATATTTTGGTTGTTTTTCTAATTTAATTCTCTCACTATCGTCTGACTGTGAACTGCGAACAGTGTTAAACTTGATGTAAATAAGGCCCTTGGAAGGGTCTCTTTGCCTGTCGTTCCACAAAGTTTTGCCAATTTGCATTTTGTTTTAAATAAAGGTTGCAATATTTTATTGGCAAAAACCACTTGAGTAGATGCTGGGTTTTTGGTTTTTTTTCCCTTAATGATTATTTGAAGCTGTTCAGTCCTAACCAGAAGCTCTTTAATTTGGGCAGAAAAAAATTGTTAAAAAGAGAAATAGTTTTAATTCCACCAGGTTGCAAAAAAAGCAGTATCTTTATTTATGCAGTATCTGTATAGAACCAAATTGTTGCCCTGGCGTGGTCAGAGAGCAGCTCTTGCTGTTGTGGGGCTGATCAGAGCTGACCCAAGTGTGGCACACACGCTTGTGACTCAGCAGAGTGCAGCTCTTGCCTTCCCCTCAATGTCTCCACCACCTCCCTCAGCAGCCACAGCCAGAGCTGCTCCCGTGCCCACCACCAACCTCCCGCCAGCCCGGCCTGTGGCAGCCTAACCCAGCTGAACACTTGTTGACATTTAGAAAAAATCCCGGGCTATCCTGGCTTGCACACATCCTTTTGGCTACTCATCAGCACAGAGCTTGCTGAACTTTCTGCCCAGTGACCACACACACCTCCAGCAGCCTCCCTGCCCCAGCTGGAGGCATTGCCCTGATGGTTCCCAGGTTTCTGACACCTGAGCTTAACCATAAACTCAGAAATGCCTGATCACCCACGCTGGCACAGCCCCAGGGTCCATTCCACACAGCAGGGGTAAGCCACCTGCGCTGGCTGAGCAGTGGGAGAGCAGCTGGCTCGTCTCTGCCTTGGACTGTGAAGCTTCCCGAGATAACGGAGCCAGCGTGCCCGGAGGGAAGCAAAGTCTGCAGGGCCTGGACACGTCTGTCTGGTCAATCTTCCCCAGAGGTCACCCTGCTCAGCACTGGCACCGCAAAATCGGTCAGGGCTTAAAATAGAGCAAAGGTCCTCTCGTGGGGGTGGCTGGGAAACCCAGCCCTGTCCTTGGCAGGAGATGTTTCACTCCTCGCCAGCACAGCCCCGTTGGAAGGAAGTTTTGACCCAGAGGTCACAGAGTGATTCCCGTAACACTGATGAAATTTTTTGGAGCTGCTGCAACACACTTATCACCTGGAGAGTACCCAGACAGCAAACAGCCCCTTGTGATAATAATAATAATTAAAATAATAATAATATTAATAATGCTGATACCAGCCAAAAAGCGACAGCATCAAATGTACTGAAGAGAAAAACTAAAAAAGGAAAAAACCCAAGCTTTTACTGCATCCATGAAAACTCACGTTCAGCTGCAGCCTGATTCTTCAGCCACCATCCTCCTCACATGCCCTTTGCCCTTGGGCAGAGGAGGTTTCTTCCCTTCTTGGTTTTGCAGTGAAGGAAACAGGCTCTTCACCAACGTGCTTAGTAAAATAATTGCAGCACAAGTTCCCCTCACCCCGGCAGCTGCTTCCATACAACGGAAGAGGTGGACACTCCAAGGTTAGAGCTATGGATTTGGCATCTCCAGAGGAGATTATTCAGTCCTTTTCTCCCTGCACAGACTATGATCCTGGCCCATGGGTCCCTGAGCAGCAGACACCTTAGAAAGGTGTGAGAGCAACAGAGGGGGAAAAAACTCCAGCGAAAGAGTTTGGGTGATCTTGTAAAATGACACAGAAAACTGGGGATGGGGCCATGGCTTCAGACACACTGTCCCAACAGGACCAGCCTGTCCAAGGCCTCCCTTCACCACACAGCAACAAACCAAGGACTTGGACATTCCCAGTCCCCACTCACTGTCAGGGAACCACATCACCCCTCCAGCTAAAAGAAGGGACTCAGAACACCGGACAGGCTCCAAAAGCAGCCTGTGGAGTAAAGGATGCAACAGCTCCTTCGCTGCAACAGCTCTGGGAGTAACGGGGGTTTAAGTCCCTGGTTAGTCCCTGTGCCTGGCTGGGTCACTTGCCTCTGACCCTGTGCCAAGAGAGCAGCTCCTGGAGTGCAGAACCACCTTCAGCACACGTCTGGTCCCCCTGGTGTTCAAGGAAGGAAATAATTGATACGCTGGGGCACAGATTTGCAGCCCTGTGCAGAGAAAAGCTTCTCCTCTTTGGGGACAAACACCATCATCTGGGCCACCTGGTCAAGCGTCGCCTCGGTGTAGGGAAGCCCACGGGCCAGGAAGGCGTCCCGTGCACAGAGCTTCACGTGGTGATACTCCAGAGGCAGGAACGGCACCACGAAATCAATCAGGTTCTCTCTGAGGAGCTGGCTGTGGGCATAACTGTTCTCTGGAGCAGAGCACAAGACAAGGCAAACTCAGAAACTTCACCTGATAGCACGATCGCTCTGTGAGGCCAGGCTTGGCTCCTAGCGCCTCATCATGTGGAACCCACTTGTGCAGAGCTGCTCAGCACTCTGAGCACAGAGCATCTCTAAGAGTCACACAAGAGATGCCTGGAGCCCCAGAGAAGCCTCAGTAGTGCCCTGTGAGGCTGAGCTGCCTCTTGCCCCCAGCCATTTTCAGGGCTGAAGGGGGCCTGAAGGCCTCTTGGCTCACAGGGACCAAGGATGGGGCTCTCACTGTCAACAACCCTGGGCTGGGGTGGAGCGAGGGCTTCCCCCAGGCACAGCCTTGTGTGGTACACAGTGCATGGGGCACTGCAGAGGGGCAGCCTTGCAGGCAGCCTGCCCACAGCCCCCCTGAGCAAGCCCAGCTCTTACCTGCAGCCTCCTGCAGCTCCAGCCGCAGCCGCTGCTCCAGGAGCTCCAAGGAGATCTCCTCCCGTGCCCGGCCGGCTCGCCAGAAGTCCAGGGCCACCTCATTGATGGTGTTGCCACCAAGATTGCTGTGGACACAGGGAAGTCACTCAGGATTCCCCCCAGAGCTGAACTACTGAGAGCTGCCAGCACCTTCCCTGCAGACAGGCCCCAGCAGTTCTGCTGGCAACAGAGGATTTGCTGCCTAGGATCAGCACATGGACAGCCAGCCGTCTTCCCAAATAGCCCTTTCCGTAGGCATTCATGGAGCTGTCTGCCATCCTGCCAGCTCAGACCCAGGGGCAGCAGAATCCTCCATCTCCTGGCTTGGGAAGCCATCAACCTCGCAGGTGACACCTGGCTCCACACCAAACACTGAACAAACCACCACAAAGTCCAGGTTAAACGGCAGGGCACGTGGCAGGAATCCCACTGGAAGCAAAGGTCCAGGGCACAGGTTCAAGTGGCAGCCCAGGAACTGGCACAGTATCCTCTGCCCATGGGACAAAGCAGCAGCACAGCTCCCACCTAAGGGCTCCTCTGGACATCCATGGGAGCAGCTCTGTGGTGGGGTTTGCAAGATTCTGGCAGCTGTTGAGGGTCCCAGCACAGCTCTACACCTTGGGAAGCAGGTCCAGGAAAAGTGTCCCCCCTCCCCAGGCACTGGTGAGGGGCTTGCCCCCAGCCCTGAATGCCCCAGGGAACTGGGAACCAGTGGATGCAGAGCTTGTGTGGGTGGAAGGCAGAGAGGCAGAGGGAGGCACAGATATTGCACCCCATCCTCACATCAGAGGCTCTGGACCCCAAATGGAATACAGGGAAAATTAAAAAGCCACCACTGTTTCCCACCATGCCCCCACCCCTTGTCAGGGAGAAAACAGCTTGTACTGATCCTGCTCCCAACCCAAACAGCCCCTTTGGGCTGGACAGGCAGCCAGTCCAGTCCTACCCCATCTGTAGGAGAAAACAGCTTGCACTGATCCTGCTCCCAACCCAAACAGCCCCTTTGGGCTGGACAGGCAGCCAGTCCAGTCCTACCCCATCTGTAGGACCCTGCCAGTGTCACGGGAGCCTTGGGGCAGAGCCATCCCTCCTAAAGCAGGTCAGTGTCACACGGCCACGAGGAATGATGAAACCCCTGGGATTACACCCTGCTCCCCTCTGCTTGCTGACACAGTGTCCACTGCTGACCTTCATGGCTTGCCAAGCAGGACACCAGGCCAGCCCCGTGCAGCTGGCAGCACGTCCACCCCGTGCTGAGCAACAGGGCAGGACCTGCCCCTTCCACCACGGCTCCTTCCATGCAGGAGGGACCAGAGTGTGGTGAGTTCCACAGGCACTGACTGGGCACACAGACAGGTGCTCCACAGGCAGGGAAACCTCTCTGAGGGAGCACCAAGCTTGGAGGTTGGAACACTTGCCTGGATGGTGGGAGCTGGAGGGGGAATGCTCTGCTCACCTCCAACCACTAGGAACAGCTCAAGCCAGAACCAAGCTCAAGGTTGCAATTCCTAAACTGAAGTGAGACCAAGATGCTTTTGGGGCACTTCAGTCAGATGCCTGCCTCACATCCTGTTTTTGAGATGTCCCTTTTCTCCCTCCAGCTGCATCCCACACTGAGACAGTGCTGGGGTGCACACGTGCCCAGCTCCTGGGAAAGGAACCAACTAAACCAGGCTGTGCTGATGCCAGGATCAGCCTCACAGCACCTCATTCTGCAGCCACAGCCAGGCACTGGGAACTCTGCAGCTCCTAACAGTGCATGGGAACTTCCCACCAAGACCTTGAGCCCCAGCTCTGCTTCCTGGAGTGTGACATCTGCTCAGCTGGGCAGGGTGACACTTCGTTAACTGACTCTGCTTCCTTGCCCCCAAATCTAGACTCTGGTTCAGATGTCCCAGCTCAGCTGGACCTCAGCTCCTCCTGCAGATACCTCGTTCCCAGGAAGGATGCCCAGCATCCAGAGGTAAAACTGAACATGGAGGCAACCACCACGAGAGAACAAAGTATCTGCGCCCTCCCCTGCTGCCTCAGCCCCTTGTATGATGCACCTCTGGGGACAAACAGCTTCACTTGGCTCCTCCCCATCCCTTCAGGGGACCAGAAATCACCTGAGGAAGAGGAAGATAGACCTCTGCTGATCCGCCTGGCCCTCGCTGCCGTGTTGAGCCATGAAGGGCTTGATGGCATCCAGGAGGTTGGAGTGCAGCTTCTCAGCCTCGTCGAAGATGAGCAGGGCCTGCCTGCAGCGCTGCAGGGTCTCGCTGATCTGCCTCTGCAGCTGGGCCTGCACAGCAGGGGGGAGAGTCAGGAGCCCTGGGCTGCCCTGGGGTCACCCAGCCAGGCACCACAGCTGCTCCATCTCCTCCCACCCAGCAGGACAGGGCAGAGAACAGGCAGAGCAAAGGCAGGAAGACGAGTGAGGTGAGACAGATTAGTAAGTGAAAGAAAGAGGAAGGAAAGACATCAAGTGGTGCAAAGGCAGCCACCCACCCTGCCACTAGCAAACACTAACATCCAGCCAGTCTCTGAGCAATGGCTTCCTGTCCCTAGACCACCCTCCGTGCAGCTTTTATTCCTGAGCATGGCAATAAATAACATGGAATATCCCTTTGGCACTAGGACTCAGCTCTTTGGTGTGTCCCAAACTTTTTGTACTGACCTCAGAGGCTGAGTGGGAGAGGGGTGGAAGCCTTGAGGCTGTGCAAGCACTGCTCATCAGTAACCAGCCAGTGCTGTGGGATCCACTTTCACTCACAGACCCAAGGCACAGCCCCACATGGGCTGCTGGGAAGGACGTGACCTGCAGCCAGGCCCACTGGACCACCCCGTGTTGCTGGCTCTCACCTTGTAGGAGTCCACGTAGTTGTGGTGTGGGAAGTGGAGGAGGGACACGAACACCCTGACACAGTCACTCCTCAGCCCGTCCCGGTACAGGTGACTGGCCACCATCCGAGCCACAAAGTTCTTCCCTGTGCCAGACCAGCCATGGAAGGACAGGACCAGAGCCTTGCGGGGCCATGGGCTCTGCAGGAACCCCTGCACTGCCCGCACAACCACGTCCTTGGCCAAGTGCTGCCCGTGGAGCTGCCCATGGAGGTCTGCCTCCAGCCCTGCACAGAGAGAGCACGAGCTCAGCCTCCACCTGCCAGCACAGCTACTGCAGGTGGGAGTAAGAGGAGAAAATGTGGCAGGGCTGCCTGGCCAAAAGAACTGTGAAGTGGCATTAAAGTCACAGGCTGCCTGTGCCCTGCCTACAACAGCCTCTGGCCCCAAAAAGACACCAATCTTCCACTGACTCCTTTTTTTCCTTTAAGAAAAGGCAGAGATGCTTAGCAGCTGCAGGGAGCACCAATGCCCAAAGGCCCTCCCAAGCTTCCAGCACAGGGTTTGCATACCAGGAGTCTCAGGGACAGCAAAACACAAAGACACCGACTCATGGCTTACACACAAGTCAGTGTGCCCTCCCGACATAGGGCAGGGTCCTGGGCCAGTTTGGATCCCATTATATGTGCCTGGAAGCTATGGGATGCAGGCACGGCTCCTGGCAAGCTGGAGCAGATACATTGTGCAATAAGGAACAAATTCTCTTTGCTCTCAGAACTTCAAATGGGACACAGGACTGAGCTCAGCCTCTCACGCTCCCACAGCTCAGCACCCTACCCAGAAAAGCCCTTTACTAACGTCACTTTCTAGAACACACTTTAACAGGAAAAAAAACTCAAAACAAGCCACACCAGCAGCACAGCCCTACCTGTGATGTTGTTGATTATCCTGCAATCTCCTGTCTCACAGCACTTGCCGAAGCTGCAGTACCAGGCAGAGAGGATCTCCAGGTAATCCTGGCCCACCAGAGGTAAACCCCAGCCTGGAAACGAGAGCAGAAAGAGAAGAAAGGAAAGGCTTTTTAACGTTTTGGCAATCCTCTCCCAGGTGCACGGACTCAGCCAAGTCCCTGCGGGCACCGGCAGCAGCTGGTTGAGACGGCTCCGAGCCAAGAGCACTGCCCTGCTGCCGGGGAATGCCGAGGAGGGAGACGCCCGGGGCAGCAAGCCTCGGGAAGGAAGGGCAGCGCCACGGGAACCGGGCCACAGCAGTGTCCGGACCTGCTGCTCCTTCCTGGGCACGGCAGAGAACAGAGCTTACCTGGGATGGGACCGGCCTCTCGCTCTTCTTGCGGCTTCTCCTCCTCCTCCTCGCAGCCCTCCTGCCACACCCCGCACGCCAGGTACTGCCAATAGCGCTTGGAGAGAGCGCCCACAGCTCCCAGATGCTTCTTCACGGCTTCGTACCTCACCCCGCCCCACGGCCCCCGCTCCGGGACGGGTCCCCGCTGCTCTGCCCGGGGCGGTGGCGCGGTCCCGGGGCTGCCCGAGCCGCCCAGGAGCAGCAGCAGCACCAGCACGCAGCAGC